ACCATGAATCAATAAATACATATGAAGTAACAAGTCAATCTAGGAATATGGAAGGTAGTAATATCCCTATTATTGGGCATGGATATCATGCTATGCTAGAACGTTAGGGGTCTCAATTTCCCTAATGAGAAAAAGGAAGTTAATATCCTTTGCAATATAAAGAGGGTAGGACTAATTGGGATGATTGAAACAAAAATAAAAGCTGAGAAGATCAAGGAAAATATTTGGGGGATAGGAATATATCATAAACTTACAACATCACTACAATGGAAGAATCTAGTTCACATGGAGGCCAGATGTTTTTCACGTAGTGGAAGAAAGTAGTAATGCTCAAGAAGTAACTAGTCGGGTGATACATAATGGAGTAAGAATTCCATTCCTACTAACAATATTTTATTTTTTTAATACCAGAAAGGACAAGAAGGATTTGTGGAGGTATCTAGAGAGATTGAGCATGCGATGTAACGATCCATGGCTCATCATAGGAGATTTTAACTCAATTCTCAATATAGATGATAGTTCTGGTGGGAACCCTATCTCGGTGGTCGAAGTACTAGACATGCAGCCATGTATTGCAAAGTGTGGACTCGTAGAACTCCCTCCATAGGGGGTAGATACACATGGAGTGATAAGCAAGGAAATAGTAGGATTTTTTTCAAAAATTGACTAGGTATTTGTAAACACAATATGGTTGTGATGACAGATTATAGTGCTACTTTCATCAATGAGGTAATGAGTAATCATTGTCCAGCGAAGCTAGAGAGGATTTAAATAATGTAATGTATGGTCTAGCCACCCAAAGTTTATGAAAATAGTAGAAGTAATCTGGAAAGTTCCAGGTGGTGAAGAAACAAAAAATGTTGAAGGTGGAGATAAGGAAATTGAATAAGCAACACTTCTGAAATATAGTGGCAGAGGATGATGAAGATAGAGAGGCATTGGATTCAGCACAGTCTGCTCTACATGTCAACCCCATGGATGTTATTCTCCAACAAAAAGAAAAGGAGCAATATCATAAATTCATAAAATCTTCTTATTTAGCAGATGTGTATCTAAAACAAAGAAGCAAAGTAACTTGGATTCAGTTAGGGGATGATAATTCCACATACTTCTTTTTTGTGATCAGGCACAAGAAGCTTCAACAAGCTATTATGCAAGTGAAAGATAGCACTGAAGTTCTTCAAACAGAATATGATCATATAGCTAAAGTATTTGTGGTAGTTTACCAAGAATTGTTAGGTAAGGAATTTCTTGAGATATGATCATACATTAACATTCGTTCAGCAGATTGAGTTAATAAGTGAATACACTGAAAATGATGTAAAGAAAGCCATTTTTAGCATTGACAGTAATAAGAGCCCCGATCCAGATAGATATGAAAGTTATTTCTATAAAAAATCTTGGAGTGTGGTTGAAAATGATGATACGGAGGCAATTTTGCAATTCTTTAGGAAGGAGAACTTTTGAAGCAGTTAAACTCTATAATAATTTCTTTAATTCCCAAAGTACCAACCCCACAATTGGCTAGTCAATTAAGACCCATTTCATGTCTTAATATCCTATATAAATGTATCTCCAAACTATTATGTGAAAGATTGAAGGATGTACTACGTAGCTTGGTGTCCAATAAACAAACAACTTTTGTTAAAGGGATGTCTTTAGTACACAATGTATTGATATGTCATGATCTAATGAGGCACTACAACATTTCATCAAGGTGTATGATAGAGATCAACCTGCGAAAGCCATGTGACATGGTTAGCTAGGAGCTTTTTACAAAAAAACTAGAGGGGTATGGTTTTCCTAGCTCATTTATTCAAATGGTTATTGTGTGTATATCATCTATAAATTTTTCTATAAGGATAAATGGAGAGGGGCATGGCTACTTTACCGGACAAAGGATGAGGCAAGCAAATCCAATCTCTCATTTGTTGTTTGTGTTGGTTACAAAATATCTCACTGGGACACTTAGCAAGATGAGTGAACTTCTAAGATATCAAATTTCATCCCATGGAGATGTTCTGCAAAGGGAATATAAGGTCCATTCAAAGAGTCCAGGAAGCTTTGGAGCACTTTAGTGATACCACTGCTTTACTGGCTAATGTGGAGAAATCCAATATTTTTCTAGTTGGGATCACTAATGAGTTAAAAGAAGAGATACTAACCATGTCAGGATACTCTATAGGTACTATACCTATTAGGTATCTTGGGTTGTCACTATCCTCAAAGAAATAGGGTAAGATGGAATGTCACCAACTCGTGGAGAAAATTACTGATAGGGTAACTAATACTTATGCTAGGAAACTCTCTTATGAAGGAAGACTACAAATAGTCAATGTTGTCTTCTTTTTGATATTTAACTTTTGGGGTGCAGTATTTATCTTACCTCCTAGTGTACTTAAGGCGGTGAATATAAAATGAAAAGATTTAGTATGAGGAAGTAATGTAGATTAGAGAAAGGCACCTTTGGTTGCTTGGAAAAGGTGTGCCTCCCAAAGAAATTTGGAGGACTAAATGTTAAGAGGAGCATTAATTAGAATGAAGCTTCATTTGACAATTTATTATGGCAGGTTTCAGAGAAAAAAGACATTCTTTGGATAAAATGGGTACATGGAGTGTATATAAAGCAACATAAAAATATATGGAATCACATGCCACCTACAGACTATAGTTGGTACTTGAGGAAGTTAACAAACTAAGATGTAAGATTTGTACCAAAATGACAAATACAAGTTGATAAAATGTGGCACTTATTCAATCACACGGAGCTATGATGCACTGATAGGGGCTCAGACCAGGCTTTGGAAAGCAAATCTTATATGGACAAAAATTATGCAGCCAAAACATAGATTTATCTTATGATTGGCAAACCAAAGCAGGCTGCTCACCAAGTCTAAAATAATGAGATTAAACATTCATGTGGAAGATGCAAAGTATTGTCTCTATTTGGCAGAGGTGATAAAATCTCATCAACACCTATTCTCTGAGTGTGAATGGATTACTGCAGTTTGACATGGTCTGAAAAACTGGACAGAGGTCCAAATGGTTCAGAAGGATGTCCCACAAAGTCTGAAATGGTTGAAACGAAGGAAATGGAAGCAAATATAAAAGGAAGTCTTCGTGGCAATATGGGGGGCAATGATCTATCACACATGGAACCTAGAAATTAGAAGATTTTTCAAAGCATAGATGTGAGTATGACTTATGCGATTGTACATATAGAGAAAGAAGTGAGAGCTCGAATAGCCATTCCCAGAACACAAGGGGTTTCATGAGGTGTTAGATTCTACTGAGAAGATTAACTAGAGAGTGAATAGTTTAGATCAACAAAATGAATTTGTTTATATTTGGTAAGACCTTATTTTTTATTTTCCTAGAATGGTTTTGCTTGAGACTTGGATAGTCCTAAACCTTTTCTTGGAGGCGGTTGTGACAAGATTCCCGTTACGAGAATGAAATGACGCCCCAGCTTGACTCGAGACCAAAACTCCTTACAACTCGCACCAATTGCGGCACTGAGCGGCCGGAGATTGATTGAAAAGGCAGGCCCAACCGACCCTCTCCCCCCTAACCGCCTATCTACTCATGTTCGTAGCTCGATCGGAGGTCAAAACTGTGGTTCGGCGGAATCTTTCCGGATTCGCTCCGCCTTACAGCCTTGCTTCCCATTGTAATTGTCATTGTAGCACGTGTGTGCCCCAGGTTCTCTTTAGGTTGTAAATTTGATGTTTTCATGTTGGAGTAATGGTAGTAGTTTATAGTTATTACCCAAAAAAAAACATCTTAGTTATATATATATATATATATTTTTCATTACTTAATAAATTTAGTTTTTTTAAAGCTATAGAGATTTTTGTATAATTATGTTAAGTGATATTGTATTTACGCTCTTTCTCAAGAAACATCTTAAAAGAAAAAATCTCAACAATAATTTATAACCAAAATTTATCTTTTGGGGGCATACATGCATAGTTAGATTCATCTTCTATCCGACTAAATTAATATTTTTCTATTATATAGAAGAGTGAAGCCTAGGACAACCAAGAGCAAATTCATAATTATTTTATTATGTAAGGGTAAAATTGTAATTATGCATGATTGGTATTTTAACAAAGCAAGCTACTTTTCCTTTCCCTTCCTGATCATTCTAGATCTCTTTCCTATACTTCCAGATTATGATTAACAATTGCTATTTGCTTAGACCTAAGAGTCAAAAGTGTTATCATCTTCCTCATATCTCTTCTTCTCGACGTCTCCTAAAGCTTACGGGTTAGGAGCTAAAGATTCAATTATCCACCCACATTAATGTAATTTCATCCCCATTTTCTCTACCCCAATTTTATAAAAATAAAATAGCATTCAATTCTCCTTATTCACTTTCAATAATATTTTAGCAGAGAAGCGTATATATTTGATACAGTTCATTTACTATTTTCAGTTTTCTTAACAGTTTCCTTTTGATCTCTTCTTTGTATGCGCTGACGTTTCAACAAACACTTAGGGTGTGTTTGGTATGAAGGAAAACATTTTTCGGAAAATGTTTTCCAATTTTCTCATGTTTGGTTGGATTAAATGTTTTGAAAAATATTTTTCCAAATCAACTCATTTTCCTCAAATTTAAGAAAAATGACTTTCCTTCAAAACTTAAGGAAAACATTTTCCAAAACTCTCTTCCAACTTCCAATTAAAAAATAATTGTTGAAAAAATCAATTTATTTGGTCCCTACCCTCAAACCAGCCCCCCAAAAAAATATAAAATTAAAGTTTGTTTTTAAATTCAATATTTTTACCCCACCCTCACCCCTACCATCACCCCTCCCAAAAATATATTAAAAGTTGTTTTTAAAAGATATTTCTAATTTCAATTTTTTATTTTTTTAACCCCCAACCCATTACCAGCCCCCCACTCCCCAAAAAATATTTTAAGTTTGTTTTTAATGGGAGATGATATATATAAGGTGTTTTATATGCATTTTCTTGGTTGATTTGATTTGTGTATGATAAACACCCAAATGAGTGCTTATAAATCAAGTGCCTATATGTGATTCTGAATTAGTACAAGTTCTATATAAAAAAATCATCGACACCAAGCTAGAAATATAAATATTTGTAAACCTTGTGGCTGGTTGGACTTGAGTTAATCTTTTATTTTTGCTAAATATCAACAGACTTAGAGCTAAAAGTTCATATTTGCAGAATCAGTTAAGGTCAAATATTAGGGAAATTTCTAGCTTTTACATTCTACCTGATGTTCTTAAGTTCGTGAAATTTAGGTAAAGAGTAGGAGTTATTTTATAAATACGTCGTGTTTTAACTTTCTTGGCATCAGATACTTACCAACTACTATGTCATTGTTATCTTACAGGATACTTGCTCACAAAAAAGAGATAGAAATCCCATGAGGTACATGGAGCAATAAAATCAACGCACAAAGCGTCGGCAATTTCAGGTACATTTAAGCGAGGAATAGATTCATTTGGAGTGTGTATTGTTTTATTTGCCATGGCTTTGAAGAAATGTAACAATCCCACTATCTTTTTTGGGGAACTTTTGAGAGATCAAATTTTGGAGTAACTCGAAGCTGGAAAAAGCAAGAGATTATTTGATTCCATTTTTGGGACAATATTCATCGGCATTTGTTAGGATATGCCTAATGTAGGTGGCCTATACTGATTTGGGAGATCAAATTTCGGAGTAACTCGAAATGGGAAAAATAAGAAATTGTTTGATTTCATTAGTGTTTGACAATATTTGTCGAGATTCGTTCGGATATGCCTAATGTGGCATTACTAGTTTGGGTGATTAAATTTCAAAATTACTCAAAGCAAGTAAATCAAGAATTTGTTTGATATTCCATAAATGCTCGACAATATTCAACATCATTCGTTTGGACAAGCATATCATGGTATATAATGGTTGCATATCCATCAAGTATTTAAGATATTTGGTCGTTATATCCATGTTTGATGAAGAGCAATATGATACAATTTTGGTCTTTAGAATGACTTCATTTTAGCTTATTATGTGTTTATATGTATTTTCTCATATTACTTCTGTTATTGGTGTCCTGGTATAGCTATGTAGTTTCACTTATTATAGCTACTTGCGGGTCTAAAGTTCTTGCTTTAGATTTCCTAAAGTGGTTATTGTGTTGTTGATGCAGTTATTCTTCTTGGAAAATGAAAATCAATTTAGAAGTAAAAGAAAACTCCTTATGTGTTTATATGTATTTTCTCATATTACTTCTGTTATTGGTGTCCTGGTATAGCTATGTAGTTTCACTTATTATAGCTACTTGCGGGTCTAAAGTTCTTGCTTTAGATTTCCTAAAGTGGTTATTGTGTTGTTGATGCAGTTATTCTTCTTGGAAAATGAAAATCAATTTAGAAGTAAAAGAAAACTCCTTATGTGTTTATATGTATTTTCTCATATTACTTCTGTTATTGGTGTCCTGGTATAGCTATGTAGTTTCACTTATTATAGCTACTTGCGGGTCTAAAGTTCTTGCTTTAGATTTCCTAAAGTGGTTATTGTGTTGTTGATGCAGTTATTCTTCTTGGAAAATGAAAATCAATTTAGAAGTAAAAGAAAACTCCTTAATTTTGGTCAAGCAAGGCACGACGGTAAGTTACTTGCTTTGTTCTATATTTATTTTATAAAAGCTTATTCCTCATTTAACTCTCGAAACAATGGTTACTTTGGTTTGTGAATTTTGAATAGTATCAATAGTAGCATATAGAAGCCCGATAATGCTGACTTTAGCTGTTCATTTTGTCAATATCATGTGCATCCTTACCGCTATTCAAACTTCTTTTTCAGAGAGTACTCAAGTCACGTTTTGTGATAAAGAGATGTACTGTTACAAGTATCAAATTTGTACACAAAGCACACTCTCAAACACTTAAATATGATTAGTTGAGATTAGTGAATTATTTTTTATCAGTATCCTTGCATGACTTTTAAGATAATGTAATGTTGGAACAGGTGACCCGCTACATAACTGAAGTTAGAAAAAAAGGCTATGAATTTCAACTCCAGTTCTGTATATTTTTGATGATGTGACGCACATGTTGACATTTGAATATGCTGAAGGTTCTTCTATCAAAGTTGTGTTTCTCAATGAAAGGTTTATTATGTGTCTTTGTGAATTTATTGAATGGTATTTACTACTTGGAAAATTATATTACAGTTCCTTTTCCTTTTTTATATTTTTCATTTTCTCTCTTAGAATAAGTGAGAGGTATTCATATAGAGTACACAAATTAGTTTGGAATTGATCATAGTTCATTAATTATTATTTTTATTTGTATCTTGCTTAAACTATAATTAATCAAACAGTGTTGGTGACCATAAGTTTTTTCTACCCACAATCAACATCTCATGCAGTTGGATATCTGCATTTATTAGATGGATATGATACTTGTTGCATATGGAAAATCCTCCAAACAATGGTCTTCGACACTGTACTAGCTCGCCCAAGGTGTGTATTCTATAATTTGGTAGTTTTATTTTCTTTAAACATCTTAAGTTGGCAATAATGATGTTGCTATAAAATTAAAGCATGGTGAAGATGTATGACTTAAACATCTTTGTCTTGCCTTCATTAAAAAACTTTCTCAAGAACAACCAAGTCTGCCAAGTATATCTATTGACAGAGAAACTCTAAAGTAATGGATCATTTAGTTCTCAAAAAAAAGATGATGAAAAGACTGTGAACGCGATCCATGTGTATGGTTATGACTGTCTCATCTTTAGAATTTAATGGACTATTCATAAACCAACCTTAGTTCTTTCTTTAATCTTACTTTGAAAAGTAAATATTTTTCCATGATTTATGCTTATGGATATTATTTTTCTATTTATTACTTTTAGCTATTGGATTGAAAATTTTGAAATCATGTCTACCCTGAAAAAAAATACCATGCCTAGAAACTCTAGATCATTAGCAGCTGATACAGTTATCTGTAGCACGTACGCACACTATTTGCTTAGTTGCTTTCTTTTATCGCCTATTGAATAAATATAATGATTGAACTATAATCCATTGTGCTCCGAGGTATTTGGTTGATGTGGAGATTGATGTATACTCATCTAGGAAATATGCTTTTGGCTTTAGTCGTAGATAATATTCATCTACTCTGAAAAAGGTCGAAGAGTGATTCTAATTTGACTGGTCAGGTAAAGGAGTTTCAAGAAAAAGGCTTATATATCTCTCTTGTGGGAAACTTCTATTGGCTATAAGAAAAGGGGTTATAAATTTACGTTTGTCGGCTGACCAACGTGTTTATGTTGTAAACGACACCAAAATGCACTCCTCAACTATTCCAACCACAAATGGGGTGTTGTTGACCAACAGCCTGTCCAGCAGTGATGCAAAAGCATGTTCACCTTGTGTAGCTTTAACCTAGAATGATTTTTATGCACTTTCGATATCCGGATGAGCGATCTCTATTTTCAATATTCTCTCGTGTTTAAGGTGATTAAAAAAAATGAAGTTTACATGCTGTATAATGAAATGCTTCTCCTTCCCTATATCCGTTCCTTTGCCCAAGAAAGTTGCCTACAGTTCCAAACTGAAGTAATCAAATCATGTTAGTTACGGTAAGTGTTAAGTGTTAATGGAATTGAATTTTCAAGAATGAAAACTGACAACAGGGTATAAACAGGTACTTTACTTTCATGTGATTTGTATTTCTTAAATCCAGAATTTGCTTTATGTTCTACAGTTATCCTTAATTTGTATGACACCGAGCTCTTTGATTTCTCCCGAACAAGTAATACTTTAAAATTGAAATGCCCCATAGCTTAGAGATTTCATCCTACTATTATTGATTTCATAAACTGTTCCTTGTTGTTCTTGATAACTGCAGAAAATGAAAAGTATCATGCCTATTACACCTGCAGCAATGTCTTGCTTGCCACTCATCTGATAACAATGTGATTGTTGTAGCGATGGATGATTCAATAATCATTGTCTACAATGTCTGTTTGGAGGAGGTATCATATTTATTTCCTACTTACCATTGAGGAAAGTTTCAAATACATGACGAAGTACAATTGATCTGTTATATGTTAAAAGTTAACTTTGTAGTGTCTAATAGAACAGTTTGTGTTCTATTTGATAGTTAATTCTGTTTGATAAGTTGGAAGCCCTAACCCCTAATTTGTATTGATTATTGGACTGAAAAGCAAAAGCAATATGAATTTATTAAAGAATTAAAGACAGATGTCCTCATGTCAAATTTAATTCTACATTTACTCTCAAGTTTGGTAATTCTTAAATCCCCCCTCCCCCAAAGTTAATGTTACATTCTTTGTTATTTTTTGCCTTATATTTGTAGGTAACTCTATCCCAAGAGAAAAAATTCAACTATTTCCCCCTCAGAAGTCTTCATCACACATATATATATTATGTCTCAAATGTATAAGTGTGGTTCACTTCAAAACACGTTTTCAATAACTTTAGAAAATACATTTTGTTATTGTGGTTGAAGTGAGGATACATAAAATGTTTCATATGCTAAATAATTTTCTGTACGTAAATTAATCATGTTGGAGTTGTGCTATCAATTTCAGGACACTCCTTCAAATCCAACTGATTTGTTAAATAGTGTGAAATAGTATCATTTTCTTCTTTTGTTTAATATCTTTTCCCCCATGAAATTATAGGTACATAGATGGTTTTTGTTTTCACAATTGCCTGCTGAGATGACTATTTGGAGTAGAAACATGCTCGACAATGGCTAAAAGTTATGCATTCTGTTTTATAAGCTTCTATAATAGGAGTAGGATTTTTTGAGGCATCATAGGAGGATCTCTGTTGCGGAGAGGATTGGAGGAAGAGTCTAAAGCTAGATGCAGGCTCATGCAAGTAGTTAAGAAGAAAATATATTCTATTTTAACCTTTGTGGCTCTCGAGTCAAAATGACTCATTGACAGAGTTTGTAGGTGGTGCCATGGTGATTTGGTTTGCAATTGGAAAGAGCAGCATAACTTTTATAAAACCAATCCCCTTTATGCATATTTTGGAAGATATCTAGAAAACAACTATTCCTCATGAGTATGAAAAGTTGTCCTTATCTTTGTATAGTTCAGATGCTTTCAAGATTTGTATTTTTTATGTAATGATTAGTCTTTAAATAAATTGGATCAATCAATGGTGATATTTCTGGATTTCGTGCACCAATAAGAACAAGATTTTTGTTTATCTTTTCATTTATCCTAACATAGGTGGATAAAATTATTTTGTAGTTGTTGATGAGAGGTGATAGATATCCTCTAAAATTAGTGTACATAAATTGATTTGAGCATCACATATCAAATATGCCCTCGCCGTCCAACTTTTGGTCTAAATATGCCCTTATGGCATTAGTTGGCCTGCTGAAAATTTCCAACTCATTTTACATTTCTTTAAATGACAAATGGAATTGCCACGTGACATTTATATTAAAAGGGAAAGGGGTCGCTTATGCCCTAAACTATCCGACCCACTTTTAAAACACATATCCGACCCATAAATCACCCCTCTTTTAAATAACCTATCTTACCCATTTTCAACAATTTTGTTTAATTTTTATTTTTTTTCGGTAAATTCCGAAAATGAGTAATTAATTAATAAGAAATATGAAAAATAAAAATAAAATTAATGCAAAAAATGCACAAATAAATATAGTAACCTTAAATTCAATAATTTCAATATTTTTTTTAAATTTTTATTTTTTTCCGGTAAATCCCAAAAATGAGTAATTGATTTATAAAAAATATGAAAAGTATGAAAAAAATATAAAATTAACGCCAAAAATTCACAAATAAATATAGTAACCTTAAATTCAACAATTTTTTTAATTTTTATTTTTTTCGGTAAATCTCGAAAATGAGAAATTTATTAATAAAAAAAGGAAAAATATATAAAATTTACTACTTAAGGAATTACACTGAACATGTTATTATTGTTGTTGTAATTAAAAGTGTAATATATTACGATCACGTTTACCTTTATATTGTAGAAAACAATTACATTAAGAATCTTTTTATCGGTGTAGCTCCGACAAGATATTTTATGTATCGAAAATGACATTTTTTAGTCGTTTACGATGATTCCTATCATTTTTTTGGCGTAAATTTTATATTTTTTTCATAATTTTCCTTTTTTTATTAATAAATTACTCATTTTCGAGATTTGCCGAAAAAAATAAAAATTAAACAAAATTATTGAAATTGTTGAATTTAAGGTTACTATATTTAATTGTGAATTTTTGGCGTTAATTTTATATTTTTTTCATACTTTTCATATTTTTTTATTAATCAATTACTCATTTTCGGGATTTACTAAAAAAATAAATTTTAAAAAATGATTGAAATTGTCGAATTTAAGGTTACTATATTTATTTGTCAATTTTTGGCGTTAATTTTATATTTTTTTCCATATTTTTCCTAATTTTTATTAATCAATTACTCATTTTCGGAATTTACCGAGAAAAAATAAAAATAAAACAAAATTGTTGAAAACTGGTAAGATAGGTTATTTAAAAGAGGGGTGGTTTATGGGTCGGATAGGTGTTTTAAAAGTGGGTCGGATAGTTTAGGGGCATAAGCGACCCCTTTCCCTTTTAATATAAATGTCACGTGACAATTTCATTTGTCATTTAAAGAAATGTAAAATGAGTTGGAAATTTCCAGCAGGCCAACTAACGCCATAAGGGCATATTTAGATCAAAAGTTGAACGGCGAGGGTATGAGTGAGCCAAACTTTAAATAGGGTATATCTAGATCTTTTCGAATAGTTTATGACATATTTGACCCTTTTCCCTATTTTATATTTTTGATTTGTAGAATATGTTAGTACATTATACACACATTTTGTAGCTGTCTCCTTCACTAAAAACCCTGAGCTTGTTTGTCCTTCTCCAATGGCGACTATCTGCGTACCCTCCATCTCTCTGTTTTTGTCATTGTCATTGTTTGTTCTGAGTTGTGCTATGGATGAAGGTGATATTCTTCTAAAATTTAAAGACTCTATTAATGACCCTTTAAACCTTCTTTCAAGCTGGTCTAAACACTCGACAAGTGAATGTAACTGGAGTGGTATCACTTGTACATCTTCTTCTTCCATATCTTCTATTAACCTCGCAAGTTTCAATCTTTCAGGTTCAATCTCATCTTCTATCTGTGAACTTCCTAATCTTGTTCATCTGAATCTTGCAAATAACCTCTTTAATCAGCCTATACCTCTGCATCTCTCACAGTGTGCTTCTTTACAGAGTCTTAATCTCAGTAACAATCTCATTTGGGGCACTATTCCTGTCCAGATTTATCTGTTTCAGTCACTCAAAATTCTTGATTTAAGTAGAAACCATCTACAAGGAAGGATCCCACAAGGCATAGGCTCATTGAAACACCTTCAATTTCTCAACTTGGGAAGCAACTTGCTTTCAGGTCCTTTTCCTCTCATTCTTGCTAACTTAACTCAACTTATCATTCTTGATCTATCTCAAAATCCATTCTTCCTCACTCACATTCCTCCTGATATTGCTAAACTTACTAAGCTTCAGATGCTTTTCTTGCAAAGCTCTGGTTTTTATGGTGAAATAGTACCAAACTTGTTCCAGGGTTTAAAAAGTTTGGTCATTTTGGATTTCTCAAACAATAATATCACTGCTACTTTACCAAAAGTTGGTTTTTCTCTACCAAACTTGGTATCTTTTGATGTTTCACGAAACAAGCTTTCTGGGCCATTTCCAAATGGTATATGTGAAGCCAAAGGTCTTGTCCATCTTGGTTTACATACAAACTTCTTCAATGGTTCAATACCTAATGACTCCATTAACAAGTGCATGAATCTTGAAAGGTTTCAAGTTCACGACAACTTGTTCTCCGGGGATTTTCCTTCATGGTTATGGTCATTGCCCCGAATAAAGCTCATCACAGCTGAAAACAACAACTTCTCTGGAGAAATTCCTGATTCCATATCAGGGGCTGCTCAGTTGGAGCAAGTTCAGATTGATAATAATAGGTTTACTAGTAAAATTCCGCAAGGTCTTGGGTTGATTAGAAGCTTGTACAGATTTTCTGCATCTGTCAATGGTTTGTATGGTGAGCTTCCTACAAACTTGTGTGATTCACCAGTAATGAGCATTTTAAATCTGTCACATAATTACCTCTCTGGAACAGTTCCTGAATTGATGAATTGCAAGAAGATAGTCTCCTTCTCACTAGCTCATAACAATTTGATTGGTGAAATACCAAAATCACTTGGTGCACTGCCTGTTTTAACATATCTTGATCTTTCCCAGAATAATCTTACTGGTCAAATTCCACAAGAGCTTCAGAACTTGAAGCTTGCTTTATTTAATGTGTCCTTCAATCAACTATCCGGTAGAGTTCCAGCTTCATTGATTTCTGGCCTTCCTGCTTCATTTTTGCAAGGAAATCCTGACCTCTGTGGTGCAGGATTCTCCAATTCTTGCTCACAAGAAAAAGCAATGCCTAAGGGTGTTAATCTTTCAAAATTAACATCCGCCTTGTTAATTTCAGCTGTTGCAATTTCTTCGATAATTGCTGCTGCTGTTGGATTTTACATTATAAGGCGGTGTAGGAAACAAAGATCCAAAATGAATGGTTGGAGATCAGTTTTTTTCTACCCTTTGAGAGTTACTGAGAATGATGTGATGATGCAAATGTGTGATAAGAATGCTAGAGGAAATGGGGGAACCTTTGGAAGAGTTTATATTGTGAATTTACCAAGTGGGGAGCTGATAGCTGTGAAGAAGTTAATGAATTTCGGAACTCATTCTTCAAAATGCGAGATAAATACTTTAGCAAAGACGAGGCATAAGAACATCACAAAAATTCTTGGATTTTGTTACTCTAATGATGCGATATTCTTGATATATGAATATGTAGCAAGAGGAAGCCTAGGGGATCTGATTGGGAAACCTGATTTTGAATTACCATGGAGTGTTAGGTTGCGCATTGCCATTGGAGTAGCTCAAGGACTTGCATATCTTCATAAAGATTACCTCCCACATTTACTTCATCGAAACCTGAAATCATCTAATATTCTTCTTGATGCTGATTATGAACCAAAGATGACCGATTTTGCTCTAGACCGGATAATTGGAGAAGCTGCATTTAAGTCATCTTTGGGTTCAGATGCTTCCTGTTATTTGGCACCAGGTACTGAATTATGCTTTGAACAAAAGTTAATGGTTTGAGATGATTAATGAACATTGTTACGTATTTGCAGAATATGGATACACGAAAAGGGCTAGTGAGGAAATGGACACATACAGCCTTGGTGTAATCCTACTAGAGCTTATAACAGGGCGGCAAGCAGACAAGGCAGAATGCGGTGATGTGGTAAAGTGGGTAAGAAGGAAAATCAACATTACAAATGGAGCACTTGAAATTATTGATCCCATAATTTCAAGTGCTTCTCAACATGAGATGCTTGGAGCTCTCGACATTGCTCTGCGCTGCACGTCTGTAATGCCAGAGAAACGACCTTCAATCTTCCAAGTTCTGAGGATACTGCATTCTCTCCATTCAACATCCAACCTTCCATATATCCATCAACCATCCACTTCCACCTATACTCTTTCTTAATTCTGCTCATGTGCCCCTCCTATAAATGCTCAAATTCCCCATATATTTTACTATTTCGAAATGCCTTTAACTATCCAAATTCCCCACCATATATTATATTTGGTTCTAAACACCTCTTTCTTCTTTTGACTTCTTGTTTTTTAAATGAAGGAATGAGGAGTCTTTGTACTTGACTTGAATTGTAAGGACATCATGACCTGCAAGACTTATGTATTTGACTTTTATCGTCAATTAAACTCTTCTACTTACGACTTTGATTACTAAACACTTAAATTTAATGAAACACAATATTTTAAACCATTTTGACTTTGCGTGCAATTCAAACACACAATGAAAATGACATGTCATCATCCACATCAGAATTTTAGTGATGCATTACTTATTTTGTACTTTATTTTTCTTTTTCTTTCCACTTCTTCCTTACTATCTCTATCTTTGACCACCTACCTACATTTTTTATTGCAATTAAGGCTGGGCACCGGACCGGAATGGGACCACCGGACCGGAACGAACCGGAACCGGACCGGAACGGGACGGTTTGACCGGGTTGTTGACCGGTACCGGGATGAACCGGATCGGA